TCATAAAATCTGTTCCAGAGTTCGATGGAACTCAGGAGGAATATATGAAATTTTTAAGTCATATGGTGACAGCGAAGCTGACTACCAAGCGAAGACAATTATTAGGAACAAAAAGTAAAAAAGCAGTAAGTCGGCCAAGCCTCACCATTTGAAACTAATCAGGAAATTTTCTAAAAAAATCCATTAAAAATTGTGTTAAAATCTTAAAAATACCGAATATTGTAAGGTGCCGATATATGGGGGATACACGATATTGTGGACCTATATGCACAATTTTCTTTCAGGGGGTAGAGTACTTACAATGAACTTCTTGTGTGGAATTTCGTTAATATACCGAATATTGGGGGTAGCGTTATATGGGGGCTATACGATATCGTGGACCTATATAAACAATTCTCTTGCAGGGGGTAAAGTGCTCACAAAGAACTCCTTGTGTAGATTTTCAGACAATTCCCTTAAAAAATGTGGCTAAATCATCAAAATACCAAATATCGGAGCGTACCGTTATATGGGGGCTATACGATACCGTGGACCGATATAGCCCATCTTCGAACTTGACCTGTCCGCAGACAAAAGGCAGAAAGGCAAAATTTTAGCTTCCTATCTTAATTCGTTTTAACTTTCGCGTGATTACAACAGACGGACGGACAGCCGGACGAACAGACGGACGGAAGGAAGTTTAGGATTTTACGCAGATCAAGAATATATATACTTTGTTGGGTCTAAAATTATTATTTCGATGAGATACAAACGGAATGACGAACTTAATATACCCACCATACTATGTATGGTGGAGGGTATACAAATAGGGGAAAGGCTAGAGCATTACTCGTATCACATAACACGCTGCTCAACTATCAAGCTATAATAGCTAGGTTAGACTGCACATATGCCGTTAGGACTTCCTTTCGATCACTAAGACAAGATCATTATGACCCATGAAACAGAAGGGGCCGTCTTACTTAACTCAGAAGTAAGAAGTCACGCCTTACATGGCATGGCATACAAGACAGGGAAAGGAAGAAGGAAAAAACCTCACTTTCTTAAAAAAACTTAACAAAGTATGCCCCGGCAAAATGATCAGATCTCGCGGACATTGAAAGACAACGAGTTGCATTATGCCACCAATGAAATTGAAATGTTTGGGCCCTACGTAAACTTCAACCGTAATTGTATGGAACTAAAGAGTTGAATATTTTTACTGACCATCAACCTTGCAAACGTCTCCGAAAAGAACACTAATGCAAAAATTCATTATAAACCAGGGAAAGAGAATTACATAGCTGATGCTATTTCCAGACAAAATGTAAGCATGTTGTAAGACGATTTACAATCAAATGCAGCCACCATACATAGTGAAAACTCTTGTTTGTCTTACACAATAGAGTCAACCGAAAAACCGATTAGCTGCATTAGGAATTAGATAATTCTAGAGGAGTCGAAATATCCTTTAAAATGAAGTTTTTTAATGTTTGGTACCAAAACTCTTTATATAATCCAATTCGCCAATATATGTGAACTTTTAGAACTTATTAAACCTGTAATAAATCCAGACGTAAAAAATGCGTTGCACTGTGAACTTTGGCTAGTATTTAAAATAAATTGGTATTAAGCTTTCCAGGAACGAAGTTCTGGTATTGTAAAAATTTTGTTACAAACATATTAAGTCTGATAATGCAAATAATCCGAGATTATTATCTCCCAAAAATGACAAGACTAGCAAATGAAGTTGTATTAAACTGCAAAGTATGCTCGAAGGCACTATAGGCACCCTAAGAAACAGGAATTGGGTGAAACCCCAATACCAGGTTACTCGGGTGATATTTTACATATCGACATTTTTTCTAAAGATAAAAAACAATTCCTCACATGCATTGACAAATTTTCCAAATTGGCCATTGTCCAACCATTAGCATCTCGTAAAATTGTTGACGTAACAGTGCCTATCCTTCAATTAATGAACTCGATTTCCAAAACAAAGGTCATATTTTGTGATAATGAAGCATCTTTTAACTCCGAAAATACCCTACTTAAAAACCAATATGACGTAGACGTAGTTAATGCTCCTGAAGCATCTTTTAACTCCGAAACTACCATACTTAAAAACCAATATGACGTAGACGTAGTTAATGTTCCTGTTCTGCATAGCTGCACAAATGGCCAAGTGGGACGGTTCCACAGTACATTAATGGAAATTGCTAGATGCCTTAACATCAACAAGGGAATTAGCGATACAAGTCAATGAATTATTCGAGCAACAGTAATAATATAACATTACATTCTGTCACAGGTTTAAAACCAATTGATATTATACATTCGTCATCTTATGATCTTAGAAAAGAAGTAAGAGACCAAATTGCACATGCTCAAGAATCCCAAATAAACCGGTTTTACTTAAACAGACAGAACAGAGTTTTTGAAGTTGGCGAAAAAGTGTATCTGAATAACAACAAAAGATTAGGCAACAAAATGTCCCCCTTATACTCTGAGGAAAATATACAGGCTCACCTGGGTACTTCAGTACTTATTAAAGGGAGGGTGGTCCACAAGGAAAATTTAATATGACGGAGTTATTTCTCAGTCGCATATGAGAAAACTACTCAAAGTCGACATAGAACACGCTCGAAATTTACTGCCCGCGTTAAAATTACATAATAGATTAGCCAGAAGTTTAGATTTTCTAGGAACAGCATTGAAGTTTGTGGCAGTAACTCCGGACGCAGCAGACTTTGAAAGACATAAGATGTCGGATTCGCAACTTACAGAAACTCAAAAACAAATAAATCGGCTTACAGATGCGGTTAACAAAATCATAAAAGAAACGTCTCATTTATACAATGTACTCTTGGCTAGAGATAGAATGGTTATAACAGAAATTCAGAATTTAATGTTAACTGTTACATTGGTTAAAACTAATATTATAAATCCGTCAATTTTTGATAATAATGATTTTAAGTCTATTTTTGTTGAAAATCTCACAGAAGTATATATTGTTAACCTAATGCAAATTTCTAATGTAAGGATTTTACAGTCAGATAGTATGATTTATGTACTCAAAGAATATCCTAGAGTAGAGTCCAGCTGCCAAGAGGTAGTAATATTTCCTGTAAGCTACAACAACACTATATTGCATTTGGAAGATAACACCGTTGCCGAATGCGACGATAGGGTCATAGCTGTCAAGAATTAAGCAAAGACCAACCAAGCAGAGTAATGAAGCATGATACTTGTGCGCGTGCAATTCATTCAGGAGGTTCTGTCGAAACCTTTAACATTTGTGGATGTGGGCGTAATTATAATCAATGAAGATCCGCGTGAGTTAAAACAGATAACAGCACTGAAATAAGTATAAGTGGTACTTATCTCATCACCTTTGACAATACAGCTACCATAAATAACACCAATTATGTCAAACACAAGGGAATGATAATGAAAACACCAGGAATAGTATTTTCACCTTTTCTGGATATCATTGGCCATAACAAAGTGTTAAGCCTGCCTATGCTCCCCCGTATGAATGAGCAAAACCTGTGAATCATTAAATAACTTAAAGACTTAAAGAATAACAAAACAATCATATTTTACGTATGATGACAAGGTGTATAAACAGAAAAAAGGTCTTCCTATGGGATCTCCGGCATCACCGATTATTGCGGATATCGTAATGGAGTAGTTATTGGATGCTACAACGGGAAAATTGATGACAAAACCGAAAATATTGATAAAATATGTTGACGACCTATTTTGCATTGTAAAGAAAACAGAAATTGACAATACTTTAAATGCTTTAAACTCCTATGATTGAAATGTGCAGTTTACCAACAAAACCGAAGAACAAGGAAAGCTAGCATACTTGGACGCCCGATTTCGATTAACGATTTCACCAAAAAAAAAACGAACAACGAATACGTAATGTCCTTTAAAACAACGACTTCCCGAAAACACTATTGACGATCTTATAAAAGGCGCAAAAACAATAATAAAATCAAAACGAGGGATACAATGGAAAAGTTATATAATACAGTTACATACATACCTGGACTTTCTGAGCGATTCTGCAACTCCAATATTTATAATGAGGACAAGTATCAATTAGCCTTAAAATCTAAGAATAACGTCAATAAGAATAAGATTAACGTCAAAACAAAATCGAAAATAAAAAAAGAAGACAAGTGCAATGTAGTATATAAGATAAAATGTACAGGGGACGAAACTAACATATGCCAGAAGGTATATGTTGGTACAACAAAAAGCAAACTTAAGACTAGATTATATGGACATAAGTCAGATCAAAAATCGGACAAACCACTAGAATAAAAGATGGCGCTTGCGACACATTGCACGATGACTGGCCATAAACAAAATTTTAAAGTCGTTAAAACACTGACACAAGAAAATAATTATAAAAGGCGTTTTACTCTAGAAAAGTTAAATATCGTAAACATACCAACAGATGTTAGAATGAACTATAAAAGTTATACTGACCACTGTGCACACATTTATAGGAACTTAGTTCAAAAGCATAGACAGACAAAAATGTAGTTTAGCATAGACGGTGAAACAAGACTGTTGCTTTTCTCTAGAATAAAGAGAAAAATTGTGTGGAATTATTGTTATCCTATTTGTTAATTGTTTTGTATCTTTGTAGTTTTCCCTGAAGATGACTGTCGAAGACAGTCGAAATATCGGAAAATAAAAATCAAAATTATAAAAATAAAACACTGATGTTTTCAATTGACCTTAAGCCAAAATAAAGTTAATAAAGATTATGATTAATTTTAGAATCGCCCCTCGCTTCGTTACCTTGCTTTAAGAATCAAAAATTAATAATTTGGTGCCGAAGCTAAAAATTTGATACCATTTCGCCTTTGAAATCGAATCTTGTGTGCTGTAATATGCATTGAGTCCTCATGTACGATATACAACTTAAAATTTGTAGACTTATATGTTACAATATAACTGTAAATATTATTAATTTAAAATTATTTTTCTCATTCCAGGTGTCTACTTATTGTCAACCGTTTAAGCACAAAAATGCTTAAGATTAATGCAGAACCAGGATTCTTTACTGAAGTTTTTACGGAGTTAAAGTCATGCGGCCAACTAGTTGCTAGTTCCAATCGTTCACTTTCATGTGGAGCCGCTTGACGTATTTTTGGAGCAGAAATTATCATTAATTTTACATTTTCTGCACAACATAATTTTCACCATAAAATAAAACATAATCAATTTTGTTGTAACTAATATAATAATTACTACTTCCGCATATTTTTCGAACGGTTTAGTTTACTGGAAAAAATCAATGCTTTAAACATTATGTGGAAAAGGAACTCCACAAAACCACTTAAAATGTTAATTTTTTAATTAAATAGTGTTATATGTTTTTTCTCTTATCCACACGAACATACTTGGTATTGCCATGTCATAATGCTGCATTTTTATTGGCTGGCAAGTGTTCAGTTCATTTTTAGTGTACACTAATGATAAGTATGTTATATTTACAAGCTGGAGAACTAAAGCCCACCGCAGTGAAAGAGTTAGAATGTTTGTTCGGCATACCGTAGCAGTTGTTGTGGCAAAAAGTTAGGTTTAATGCCATTATTGTTGTTTTTATAAAAACAATGTTTCTTTATTAGTGGAGAATGATGGTAATGTTTACCATGGGGTAAGGCAGGGAATATCTATGTTTCGGAAAAAGCCACCAATCCTCATCAGTTCCCTTGGTTTTTGTTTGGTGATATTCCGGATATAGTCGTGGATATACTAACATGATACATTGAAGTTATCTTTTAAAGTAAGCTATTTATGGAATTGAAATAATTTAGATTTTGGAGTTCATATTTTCAGACAAAGATATAAACGCCAAAATAGGCGATCCATAACATTCAAGCAGCTATAGTTATATGTAAGATCTTAATAAACCCGACTCCATTTTTATTGAGTACTAATATTTACCACTCTGTTCTAGTGTGATTTGATGATATCTTTTCTTTTACTCTTTTCGTGACAAATTCAAGTCGAACAATTAGACTCGACTGATTCGTAGCAATGGGAATGCCACGAATAGTCACTATTGTGCAGAAAAAGGAAAAACGTACGCATTATTTACATTTAACTTTAAATATGAAACAAGCATAAAGTATAATATTACTCAAACGTGTACTGCAGGACTTTTGGTATTAAAAATGGGTCATGTAGGTAACGTTTTGGTATAGGCCCCATATAACGCTACCTCCCTTTTTCAGTATTTTAATGATTTAAGCGACATTATTCACCGGAAAAGTTTCAAATTTGGTATTAGGAGTTCGTAATGGGTACTACAGCCTGTGACAGAAAATTGTCTGTGCAGGTCCACGTCTTCATATAGCCCCATATAACGGTACCTCCCGATATTCGGTAGTTTGATGATTTTAGCGAAATTATTCACCGAAATTGTTTCAAATTTAGTGTTTGAAGTTCGTAATGGATACTACAACCTATGACAGAATATTGCCTGTGCAGGTCTACGTCTCCGTATAGCCCCAATATAATGGAACCTCACTACATTCGGTATTTTGATGATTTTAGCTACATTACTCACCGATTTTTTTTATTCAAGTTTCGTATTTGGGTATTGTAATGGTTTATGACAAAAGTTGCCTATGTAGGTCCACGTCGTTGTACAGACGCTAATATGACGGCTACATTCGGTATTTTTAAGATTTTAACCGACTCTTAACGGATTTTATTTTTTTTTTTAAATTGCCAAAAATCGTTCTGAATAGTGGAGGGTGTCCAAAGATCGGCCGGGCCGAACTTACAGTTTTTTACTAGTTCAACATCATTCGTCTCTCTATTAGGTCTCTTTTGATTGTGTATCTAAAAAAACATCAGATGAACAGTATTTTTATCCTTCTAAGGGTGTATCTAAACACACAAGATTAACACACTTGATCTAATAAACTCAGTGGGTTAATCTTCTATTGTATAAATACCTTGTTTGTGCCCTTATTTATGTTTTCATAAATCCAAAAGGGGTATTTTTTTGTATTTATAAAAACAACAAAAACTAAATGTTATTGAAGAAAAACAAACAAACACAAACATATAAGCAGTGAAGGTACCAGCTACTGGCCGAAACAAAGTTGTGACAGTTTTCAATCCGGTTTTGTAGACAGTCCGCTCGGACTTTTTTTGAAATGTATTCTAGACAGACCTGGTACTCGGATATTTCACACGAGAGTCCGGGTCCAAGACACGCGTTGGATATAAGCCCAATATATTCATATGTTCCTACAAAAGCTATCTATCATTTGTTTTTTTTCGCATGTCCACATTCGTTGAAGTCTCATAAACGTATGAGATCACCGCAAACGTACTGTTTTGTGCATCTATGGTTCAATACCTGGTACACAAACCATAGTTTTTTTATATTCAAAACATCATTTCATGGAACTGAAAAACATCGGGATGTGCGAGCTTTAAAGCCAATATCTCTGAAGACATTTTGGAAAAAATAGCATATGTTGCCTAATTTAATATATATTTTGTGAACTCACTCATTTTTATACCCTACACAATGGTTATATTAAAGTAGGCAATTCGTTTGCAACACCTTAAGGTCTATATTTTCCTAAAGCGCCCATACAACGGCACATCCCAATATTCCGTATTTTGATCATATTGGCTAGATTTCACTTTTTTGAATTTTTTTATTTAGAGTTTTTAAAGGAATTTTTCCTACTGTGGCATAATATTATGCATATTTCGACATTTGTCTTTAGCCCCCATATAAGGGTAAATCTAGATATTCGGTATTGTGATGATTTCTTTCTTTCTTTGTAATTAGAAAAAAGCAGTAAACTCGGCCGGGCCGAACTTTGAATACCCTCCACCATTTGGAGCCAAATTGAAAATTTTCAAAAAATAACACTTACCGAAAATTCTGTTAAAATCTTAAAAATACCAAATATAGCCGTTATATTGGGGTCTATACGGACCTGCATAGGCAACTTTTGTCGTAAGCCATTACAATATTGAAATACGAAACTTGAAAAAAAATCCGCGGATAATGTAGCTAAATTCATGCAAGTATGGAATATATAGAGGTACTGATATATGGGGCTTGTACGAAGGCCTGGACCTGCATAGACAATTTTAAATCATAGCCTGTAGTTCCCACTACGAACTCTAAACGTAAAATTTGAAACAACTCCCGCGAATAAAATTGGGATGCATAAGCAATGTTTTGTCATAGGCTATAGTACCAATAACGAATTCTTGGTACGCAATTTAAAACAACTCCGGTGACCAACGTCCCTAAAATCGTCAAATATCGTTGTATGTGGGCTATACGATTAGTGGACCTGTATAAACAGTTCTCTTCCAGAGGGAAAAGTACTCAGAAAGATATGGATTTTCAGACAATTACATTGGAAAATGTGACTAAAATCATCAAAATACCGAATATCGGGGGGTACCGTTGTATGGGGGCTATACGATATCGTGAACCTAAATAAACAATTCTCTTCCAGTCTGTAATGTACTCAGAAAGAACTCCTTGTGTGGATTTTCAGACAATTCCATTGGAAAATGTGGCTAAAATCATAAAAATGCCGAATATCGGGGGTACCGTAGTATGGGGGCTATACGATATCGTGGACCGATATAGCCCATCTTCGAGCTTGACCTGCCTGCAAACAAAAGACTGATCTGTGCAAAAAATGACTCTAGCGTTATGACAACATACTGACAGACGGTCCGACAAGGCTAACTCGTCTTAGAATTTTACGCTGATCAAGAATATATATACTTTGTTTTGTCTAAAATGATTATTTCGATGAGTTTAAAACGGAATGAGGAACTTAATATACCCTTCAAACTATGTATGGTGGAGGGTATAAAAATTGTCTATATGGATTCACGCCACCATCCACTTTATTGTATTTTGAAAACATTACTGCATCCTCCAACCGACTTCACTGTTATTTGAAGTGTTGCGTGGTTATGGTTATGGTTTTTAAACCAGATAATTTTGTTTGAAATGTTTCTTTGTTACCAAAAGTTAGAAGGTATTAAGAATTCGGTATGACCGAACTGAATGTTTTTCTACTTTCATAGTATGATATCAATGTGTAGGGTTATTTAAATTTTAAACTAAATATATTTTTTCGTTGAAAATGCCATTAGTTAAGCAACATTCAAAATTTACAGTACAAAGTGTAGATTTTGTACACAAAGTATATCACGAATATAACGGCCCGATATTCGATATTGTGATTTTAGCCACATTTTTCAACGGAATTGTTTGAAAATCCGCACAAGAAGTTCCTTATGAGTACTTTATCTCCTAAAAGAGAATTATTTATGTAGGTCATGATATCACTTATTCCCATACAACGGTATCCCAAGATATTCGCTATTTCAATGGTTTTAGCCATACTTTCCAATGGAATTGTTTGAATTTGCTCACAAGGAGTTCCGCGTGAGTACTTTATCCTCTGAAATAGTATTGTCTATATAGGTCCACAATATCGTATATCCCCCATATATCGGTATATCCCCCATATATCGGTATATCCCACATATATCGGTATTCCACATTTTTAAGATTTTAACAGAATTTTTAATGGATTTAATTTTTTTTAAAAATTTCCTAATTTATCCCAATGTTCAAAGTTCGTGCCGGCCGAACTTACTGCTTTTTTACTTGTTCGGTATTTTGGTGAATTAAGCGACATTATTCACCGAAAATGTTTGAAATTTGGTATTTGAAGTTCGTAATGGGTACTACACCCTATGACAGAAAATTGTCTGTGCAGGTCCACGTCTTCGAATAACCGCAATATAACGGTTCCTCATTATATTCGATATTTTGATGATTTTAACTACATTGTTCACTGAATTTTTTTATTCAAGTTTCGCATTTAAGTATAGTAATGGTTTATGACAAAAGTTGCCTCTGCAGGTCCACGTCCTATAAACCCTAATATAACGGCTGCACTCGGTATTTTTAAGATTTTAACAGACTTTTTATCTGATTTTATTTATTTTTGAAATTGCCAAAATCGTTCCAAATGTTGGAGGGTATTCAAAGATCGACCCGGCCGAACTTACAGCTTGTTTACTTGTATTTATGTCAAACATACACTAAATGCCAAAGTATTTTTTGCTTGACAATGTAAATATGATTATTGGTTTAAGGTATTCATTCAACAATAGTTGTGTTCCAGAACCTGGGCTAACAAGGTTGAAAAATGTATTGATACATTTCAATGTTCGCGCGTGACAACAAATATAAAGAAAAAGGATAAACTGAAAAACTTAAGAAAAACTAATATTTGTCGTGCAAAAACCAAAAAGAGAAAATATGGAGCAACTGATGTTATCAAGAAAACGTATTGGAAAACAGTGCAAAATTAGTGAAAGGTAAATTGAAAAATTAAGCTTAAAATTAAATATGTTCGCTTATTATTGCGAACATTTTCTTTTTATTTTTTAGGTTGGCTGTCTTCCCAACTTGTTGCATTAAGCAGCGCTGCTCAAGAAAAAATATCTCTTTCAAGTCAAATTTCTCTTCGCTTATTTGAATCAAAAACAAAACAGTGTTAAGTCATTATTTATACAAATATTTTTTATCCATTTGCTTTATAAATAATTTTGGAACATTAATGTTTAAAAACAATTAAATGGAATCGTTAAATATAAAGTAAAGCAGAATTTTAATTTTCCCTTAAATTGCCTCTTTTTTCGGCTAATGTTTTAGAACACGGGTTTAAGCAGGGCTGCATTAAGTCTTCTAGCAGACTTAACATTCTAGCAGACTTAATATTCCAACCATGTCAGCTTTTCCGAGGTTGGGATTTGAGAAAACTCCACCTCTAAATACTCTTCAACGCATTCTGAAAACAAGTCCTTCTAAATAAACAGCATTCTAAAAAATATTAATTTTAACTTATTTTAAATACTATTTTTTTAATGTTTGGCGTCCATTTCAGTAAGGTTTCGCCAGTCCGATTTAGACTGTTTTCTTTTGGAATTTTGAATGTTGACATTTTATCGCATTTCTGCTAATTTTCCGTTCCCTTATTTTTTGAGCACACCTAAATGAGAAAGGCATTTCGTACTGTTCTCTCTTCTGCTAGTTTTACTCCTAAAAAAGTACTGGAACACAACTAATTCTGTGACATTGAGAACCTTCAAATAAGTTGAGAACCTTAAAATAAATGTGTTATGAAAGCTGGAAGGAAAAATTGTATATCGAATAATTAAAAAAGATCATGAAATTAAGTAAGGAAGAAAAGAAAACGCTTTGATGTGAATGTTTAACGATACTATTATTTAAAGGAAATGGGTGAAGCAAATACAAGTATTCCACACTAAAATAAGTTTAAGCCAATAACAGGCAAATAGCTTTCTATCTCAATTCGTTCAACATATTAGATTACGGATTACGTGAATCATTACGCGATTACAGCATAGAGACAGACAAACAGATATAGCTAAATCGACTTCGAATTTCACGCTGATCCAAAATATATATACGTTGTAGGGTCTATCATGAGTATGGTTTAGGGTATAAAATGACCTGCAAACAAAAATTTTAAGTAAGACATTACACATGTCAAGGCGATTGCAAATATAAACAAAAACAATGAAAATAATATTTCACAAGAAGTAGAAAAACAATAAGTTCGGCCGTGCATCTCAAAAACCCAAAACGGGGACCTGTATAGGCAATTTTATAATACAAGGATTATTATCTATTGGAAGTCTTAAATATTACATTTGGAACAATTTCCTGTTAAAATGTGGCTAGTATTATCAAATATCGGTGGGTGCCGTTATATGTGCGCTTTAGGGGACGTTTACCTATACATACAACTTTCTGCCACCGAAGGTTGAACCCATAATGAACTACTAATACCAATTTTTAGACAAATCCGTATGAAAATGTGACTAAAACCATCAAACTATCGAATATCGAGAGGTACCGTTATATGGGGGCTATACCAAACGAGGACCGGAGAAGTTTAAAGCCCTGCGTCAAATAATGTAATGTGTTATCAACGGACAGACGGACCTACAGACCGACATCGTTAAATCGACTAAGAATTTTATGCTGGTTATGAATATATACCTTATGGTGTCTACGATGGATATTAAGCGATGTAACAAATGGAATGTCCTCCTTCAAGGTGAAGTGTATTTTTTTTACCCACTAATGTTTTTTAATTGTTTTCACACAAAGAATTGTTTTCAATTTTTACTTTGAGAAAAGTTAAGATACTATTCATTAGCTTTGAAGGCTTTACTATTACGGAATGAATTGAATAAATAAATAAATTTACAGCTTACTATGGGTAGTGATAGTATAGTTTGTAATTTATATTTATAGTTTTTAAAGCTAAGTATTATAGTTTACTAAGGTAAGCAATAGTATAAAGTGTAATTCACATTTATTTATAATTCTCAAAGGTAAGTATTTTTTATGTTTATTTTTTTATGTTTTATGGGATTTAGAGGCACCGACAACGTTTTTGCCGTTGTGCGAATATACACGGGAGAAACATCCTCTTCGACCTATAAAGCAAGGGAAAGCGGCTAAAAAGGATTCGTTGGACAGATCCGTGGTTGCTTATAAGTGAATTGCCCTTGATGCGATACATATAAAAACGCATACGTATCCTTTTGTAATAAGACAAACGCCAGGGAAGAATGAACAAAAAAATGAAACACAAGTAGTTATTATATTAAATTCTATATAAACAGATATTGCTTGTCTTAATTTGCCATCTCCATTGTGATAATCATTTGTTCCGCATATTCTGAGTCCACGACAACAAATAACGAGTGTGCGAGGTTCCCAACTATGTTAAGAGCTCTTCGTCTGCTGCGCCAAGGAAATATGTTTAGTGAACAAGATTCCAATTGTTTCTGTACTTAAATGAGATTTTCTGAAAGTGTCTTACAGCTTCTATTTTCAACAGCTCTCTTGCACAGTTCCAGAAGAGTTCTTATCACTATAGAAAAATCATTCATATCTGCCCAAAACGGAGAAAGATCAATAAGTGATCAATTTCCATTCCGCTGTCACTACCTTTTTGACTCCAATTCCATCAAAGTTTTGTATGTTGAATGGGCTTATTCTCAAACTTTTGTATGTTGAATGACTGACACATACATAGCGGTAGGAATAATAAAGCCACAAGCATTATCGGTATTAGCATGCTGCTTGACGTCTTGAAGCGCTTTGACGATGGCTCTTTACTACTACCCTCCTCTATATAAGTGGTAGAGATTCCTGATTATTTTCGCATAAAGGAGCTAATCTGTTTATGGCTCTTTCAACTTCGCTGTTTTGTGTCTTAACGTTCACCACACAAACGGCTCCATCGTTACCATTGCATGTTCGGGCTATTCTGCCTAGGGGCCACTGCATTACAGTCATGTTGTCTTCTTTAATGATTAGCAATTGATTACGGTGTACTCCATATCCTTCTTTCTTGAAGAGTACTTAGGTATTCCGTAGGTATTCTGGTTTTAAAGCGCTCTAACAGGCCATGTGATGAGGTCGACTCCTAACCTCATCACAAAGCGATGTAACTAACGAAAGAAAAAGAAAACGCCGCGAGATGATCTTTCTCGTTCCGTGGCTGGAAGGGAACTCAATTTATTTACAACATATTCTTAACACTAAAGCTTACATCTAATACATTAACACATGCATTTTATTTACTAATGCACGCTGTGCATTAACGCACACAATACGTTACGGGAGAAAACGAAACGTACCTAATTTGTGATCGACTCTTTCTTATCTTCTATTTATGGCCGTGACATTTATTACATTATTTATTACCGACCATAAACCTAGCATATGGAAAACACATGCATCTTAAGTGTTTTCTTTATTTAACTAATTAACATAATGAGAATAGAATTTAAAGAAGAAAATTCAACACACAAACTATTTTTACAACATGTACAGTTTCTACAAAACTAAACATACTCCCGGCCTTAAAAGATCCTAATCTTTTAACAAACATAGATCGATCGATTCTAATTTTTTTTAAAAATTATATAAAATAAACATCATTTTCTTAATATTAAGAATTGAATAAAACTGTGCTAAAGTTATATCTTATTTTTTAATTAATTTCTAACGTAATAATAAACCCCGAAGTATGCTACTTGAAACTAGGTAATTGCACCCATGACATCCACCAACCACTTGAAGTCTGGATCTCTCCGCCAGCAATGACCAGATACCTGGGATATTTTTAAATCCTTGCCATGATTCAATGACAAATCTCCTGCATGGATACGTCGTTTACTCATACCCATGTTGTTATGTTCTCCACGACTTCTGAACCATCCCGGGCGTTCCAGACGGAAATTATCTTGTCTTTATGTCCATCGCTAATACAATGCTTGGCCGGGGTTTCACTTTTTTCTTCTTCGGGAGGAGCAAATACAGGATTCTTGCGTTCCTGTAAATTCCTTGTTGGCAGCCTTTCTTCAATTTTAATTTTTCTCGTTATTTTTCCTTCTACTCGCGGAACATCAAGGCGATCGTTTTCATTTTTTCTTTCGATAGCTTCTAAGTCCTCAACTACCTTTTGATGAGTCCCTAAACTACCTTTAACATTATCAACATGCTTCTTCATGTTCACCTTTTCAGGTGCTATTCTTGAAATTTTCCCACTTCTCACTATGCGGTAACAAATTCTAAGAAAATGGTAGTGACTTGTGCAGTCATCCTGTTTTCCAACTACATCCAAATACCGCACGTATTGTGACGATAATGTTTGAAATTTTCTATCGATGTTTTCTATTTTTGAGAAATAACATCTTCTAATCTTCTCCCAAAAATCAAATAAAGCATCGATAAGTTTAACCGTTATCCCAATGTCTGGCGGCTGTGAATGGAACAGTAAGGCATTTTTCCCACACTGTTTTGATGAACTTAAGCTGTTCACCTCAGCTAAATAATCGATATCTAAACGTGGAATTTCTAAGGAAACAAAAACACCTATGCCGTTTAGAACTCTCTCGATATCTTTAGTCGCATAGCACACTCCCAAGGCGTCTATGTAATCCGAGTATGTAAATTTGTTCATACGACGGAGTTCCCTCTCGTTATCTAAATATTTCTTTCTTGCTTCTGTAAAGGAACTACCTAATTTGGTACATTTTCCCCTAGCTTCCTCAGTTACACCACACAGAGCAATTTTTTCCATTTCTAAATAAAGTGACACAATATACTCGCCCAACATCCTTTGATGTTGAATGAAGTCTACAAAATTCATATTGACGAAATATATGTGCACTCAAAAAATAAACGAATAAACTAATCACTTTTTTCTACACGTCTATTGCGTTAGTATATGGAGAGATAGATCGACAGAATCTTTCACTGCTACCTATCATGTCTCCTTTTACACAACTAAAAGATCTAACACTATCTTTGCTTCAACAGTGCACCTTTTACGTCGCTACAACAAATAAGCCTAACACACTTCACTACTACGAAAATGCGCGCCTATCACGTCATTTATTTCGCATAAACTAATATTTTCTCGGACACTGAAAATATAGCCTATCGAATAACTTCACTAACTACACGCGATACTATCACGTCGGGGTCACCAAATGATAAGGTCGACTCCTAACCTTATCACAAAGCGATGTAACTAACGAAAGAAAAAGCAAACGCAAAAAATAACACTTACCGAAAATTCTGTTAAAATCTTAAAAATACCAAATATAGCCGTTATATTGGGGTCTATACGGACCTGCATAGGCAACTTTTGTCGTAAGCCATTACAATATTGAAATACGAAACTTGAAAAAAAAAAAAATCCGCGGATAATGTAGCTAAATTCATGCAAGTAGTAGTTCCCACTACGAACTCTAAACGTAAAATTTGAAACAAATCCCGTGAATAAAATTGGGATGCATAAGCAATGTTTTGTCATAGGCTATAGTACCAATAACGAATTCTTGGTACGCAATTTAAAACAACTCCGGTGACCAACGTCCCTAAAATCGTCAAATATCGTTGTATGTGGGCTATACGATTAGTGGACCTGTATAAACAGTTCTCTTCCAGAGGGAAAAGTACTCAGAAATATATGGATTTTCAGACAATTACATTGGAAAATGTGACTAAAATCATCAAAATACCGAATATCGGGGGGTACCGTTGTATGGGGGCTATACGATATCGTGAACCTAAATAAACAATTCTCTTCCAGTCTGTAATGTACTCAGAAAGAACTCCTTGTGTGGATTTTCAGACAATTCCATTGGAAAATGTGGCTAAAATCATAAAAATGCCGAATATCAGGGGTACCGTAGTATGGGGGCTATACGATATCGTGGACCGATATAGCCCATCTTCGAGCTTGACCTGCCTGCAAACAAAAGACTGATCTGTGCAAAAAATGAACTGAATGTTTTTCTACTTTCATAGTATGATATCAATGTGTAGGGTTATTTAAATTTTAAACTAAATATATTTTTTCGTTGAAAATTTACAGTACAAAGTGTAGATTTTGTACACAAAGTATATCACCAATATAACGGCACGATATTCGATATTGTGATTTTAGCCACATTTTTCAACGGAATTGTTTGAAAATCCGCACAAGAAGTTCCTTATGAGTACTTTATCTCCTAAAAGAGAATTATTTATGTAGGTCATGATATCACTTATTCCCATACAACGGTATCCCAAGATATTCGCTATTTCAATGGTTTTAGCCATACTTTCCAATGGAATTGTTTGAATTTGCTCACAAGGAGTTCCGCGTGAGTACTTTATCCTCTGAAATAGTATTGTCTATATAGGTCCACAATATCGTATATCCCCCATATATCGGTATATCCCCCATATATCGGTATATCCCACATATATCGGTATTCCACATTTTTAAGATTTTAACAGAATTTTTAATGGATTTAATTTGTTTTAAAAATTTCCTAATTGATCCCAATGTTCAAAGTTCGTGCCGGCCGAACTTACTGCTTTTTTACTTGTTCGGTATTTTGGTGAATTAAGCGACATTATTCACCGAAAATGTTTGAAATTTGGTATTTGAAGTTCGTAATGGGTACTACACCCTATGACAGAAAATTGTCTGTGCAGGTCCACGTCTTCGAATAACCGCAATATAACGGTTCCTCATTATATTCGATATTTTGATGATTTTAACTACATTGTTCACTGAATTTTTTTATTCAAGTTTCGCATTTAAGTATAGTAATGGTTTATGACAAAAGTTGCCTCTGCAGGTCCACGTCCTATAAACCCTAATATAACGGCTGCACTCGGTATTTTTAAGATTTTAACAGACTTTTTATCTGA